ATCCTTTCATATTCTTATTTACCATCTGTATATCATCTTTGATGCACTGTATCCTTGGCTTTTTAGCCTATTTTTAATCAGTATTTTTACTTTATTACTGTTGAGATTTAAGAGTTCTTTGCATATTTTAAACAACAGTTCTTTATCAGACATGTCTCTTGCAAAAATTTTTTTTTCCAGTCTGTGGCTTATCTTCTCATTCTCTTGATAAAACGTACATGTTAATATCTATTTCCTTGCAGAAAGTCTATTGCTATTGCTTTCTTTGTTGATGATGAAAAGAACAACAACAAAAAAAAAGGCAGAGAGACCACAGTAAAAGAAACAACACACATTGCAGAACACTCAGCTCAGGAAGTGCAGAATATTTGTCACTGATCAGGCATGTATAGTATATTTTTCTGGGTCAGCTCGTACTGGATGAGAGCATATGATAACGCTCAGAGTACGGGAACAATATAATATGTGATCACAGAGTGCTGTAATAAATTATTACATATATTTTATTTTTGGAATATATTTCAGAGACAAATATCATTCTTATGAATCAAACACAATAAGGAGAATATTTTGAATTGATGAGAAGGGAATTTCAGGCACCCTACCTCCTCTGAACGTATTGCCTTTCCACCTTGGGACAAAGGCTGACTAGAGAAAAGCAAATGATCTTCATGGGGCCCTGAAGACCTCCTGACACTGAGTAGGGATTTATCTTGATTTGGTAAAGGAAGATAAGAGTGCATAAATCCCCGAATCTGTCACAGAAGAAGGATATTCTGAGTCTGATGTGGTCTTTGTGTACTACGCTGAAGGGCATGGAAATTTCCAAGAGAATATTCACAGAGGCAGGTCTTGGATTACCTAAGTGTATTATCCCTGACACATTGAAATTGCACATAAAAGTATTTCAGGTGTTGCTCAAGTCATGCAGGAAGCTTGAAAAAGATACCTGTCTCTCTTACCCAATGCCATGAATCAGACACACACACTCACAAATTTAATATAAAGTTTACTGTAAAATGCTGAGCTCTGATAGTAAGTGCAAGCAAAACACTTGTGGAGGTCTCTTTTTGTTGGAAATATCAGGTGTTAGGGCCTAAGGCTCAAGATACTGCATTTGGGAGGGGCCATTTCCTTTGGCCATAAGGAAGGGCTGTGCAATCCTGAAAGTACAGGAAATAAGTACCAGGGTCTTCTATCTTTCGCAGAATTATGCTCACATTATCATAATGTCACAGAGACCAACACAAAAGGGTACACAGATTTCTCTACTCTGTCTCAAATATAGAAAGCTGTGTTAAATATGCTCTTTGAGGTGGCCTTTCAAGTAAATCCCCCAACTCTAGGCTGGAAATTGGTCCAGGAAAGAATCCTGATACACACACTTTCTTAGTCCTTTTCTTTCTATAGCTCATCAAGTAGAGGAAATAATAAATTAGCCTACAAAGGCATCTGGAACTGATCACACCAACTTTTAAGAAACTTTCATTTTAGGCCTATATTCAAGAATTCATGGTGGCCCTTATTCCAAATATCCCAAATATCAACAACTATAATAAAGGCTAAAGATATTTTTAATTCCTTTTAATAGATTATATTTATAATATAATTCACACAGAATATAATATAATTTTTTAAAATTTGACTTTAAAAAATACACTTAGTCATAGAGTACAAATTAGAATGTGACCTTACAGTTCATGAATTTAACTTCTTCATTAGATTCAATAGAGATAAAGTGACTTTTCCTAGCAAGTTTGTGATAAATAAAGTTCAATCAAAGGTCTTTATGCTAAAATACATGGTATAATGGACTTGCTACTTTTGCTATTCAAAATCCACTTACTCTTTTCTTGGTTTCCCAATTTTCCTTAGGGGAATGCTGCTCCCCTAAAAGAAATATACTTTCTCAGTCGTTGTCATTTCAGGTAGAACAAGTGACATAAGCATAAAACAATCAGCACACATTTGCTCTGATCACAATAATTTTTTCAGAAACAGGCAATCACCCAGTCAGAACAAAAGAGACAAAATAAGATTTTTTTCTGGTATTGCTGAGACAGAGACCTTCATTCTTCCCGTAAAGCTGAAGTATAAGAGTGTAAGAACCAGAGACACTACAGCTATCCTACAGCCACAAAAGGCCTATCTATATAAAAATGAAACTATCACATAAAGGAGAACAGAAAAGAAAATGTTTTCTTAATTCCTTTATAAGACCATGGATGAAGACGGCCTGAGTCCCTGAGTTTTCAGATACATTTAGCCAATAAATTCCTTTTTTCACTCAGTTTCAAAAGTCACCATTGAACTTCATTTCCTCTGCCTAGAAAATCCTTCCCCCAGATAACCACAATTAGCTCTATCCCTTCCTTCAAATCTTTACTTAAATGTCACCCTCTCAATATGGATGGGCCTGGAGAACGTTATACTAAGTGAAATAAGCCAATCAGAGAAAGACAAGTACCACATGATTTCATTCATATATGGAATCTAATGAACAAATTGAACTAACAAGCCAAACAGAGACAGCTAGTAGGGAGGGGAGGTCAGGGGATGGAGGGATTGAGAAAAAGAAAAGGACTCGTGGACATGGACAACAGTGTGGTTTGGGGAGGTGGATATAAGGGGACTAAATGCCAATGGAAAAAATATAATAAAAATAAAATTAAATAAATAAAGGTATGCCCCCTCCTCAATGAAACATTTCTTGGTGGCCATATTTAAATTTGCAACCCTCACCATCAACATCTGTAACCACAGGACCAGCTCAGAATGGTCCTACCCTTTTTTAACCTGATACTGAGTTGATTTTCAGAGACAACAGACCACAGCTGCAAGTCATGCCAAACCATGTGCGGACAAGAGAATTCTGACCTCCAGCTGCACTCAGAACCAGTCTCACCCCTCCCCCACAGAACCAAAGGACCAGGGCATAATGGAACTTGAGCACTAGAACACTTTCAAAAGCAAAGGATCCATTCTCGGGGAATATCCTATGTTTACTCCACTTAACATAAATGGCCAAGTTCCAAGGTCCTCCACTTTAAACTTGCCCTGCCAGCATTTCCACCTACCTGTTCCCCCTGTTTGCTTAAAAACCTATCCGGAATCCTGGATTGGGAAGTTCAGGCTTTTGAGCATTAGCTTCCCATTCTCCTGGGGGGTGCCACTCGTAACAAAATAACCAATCTTTTTTCACTATAATTCTTAGTGCTTAGTGTTAGCCTTTGTTAGAGCTGAGTGGACAAACTCTCTGTCCTTTAACAAATTTTCTACCTTTCTTACCATTTTTCCCCCTCTGTAGCATTTCTCTGCATCTAATACTTTATAGATTTTATTTATTTCCTTCACTGTCCATCTTTTCACTACAATGTCAGTTCAGTGAGGGCACAGATCTTTGCATATTGACTGCCATTCTCCCAGGTTCCAAAGGAACCCCTGGCAAATAGAGGAAACATTAAATAAAAAACGATTACATTAATTAATTAACTCGCCGTATCTAACACATTGTCCATAAATGACTTTCATCTTAAACATTTATCTGGTAGACATGAGGAGGACAGGGACAACCACAATGGCAAACAAACATGGACAAGTTACCAAAGTCTAACAACCTGACAATGATCTCACTGTCTTTCTTTCTGATTTATAGACCCACTCCCCATGAACAGGCTATCTGAAATTTCAAAGACCTAAGCTTTTTCTTCTGCAACACTGAAATTTAACTTCTTCTGGTCCTTATATTTTAAAACTATCCTCTCCCCATTAAAAAATAAGTAAATAAATAAATAAGAAACACACTAGGTGCTATGTTAGCAAAACTGAGTAATTTGCATCTCTGAGTTCCTACAGAGATCAGAATAGTATTTTCTCTGACTCTCAGAATACCTCTTAGGAATTTTCTCACAATCTTCAAGAGCAAAATGGGTATTTCTATTATTAAAAACTACACCCTGCCTCCCAATACCCAGCCCTGGCTGGTGTGGCTAAGTGGATTGAGTGCTGGCCTATGAACAGAGAGGTCACTGGATCGATTCCCATTCAGGGCATGTGCCTGGGTTGTGGGCCAGATCCCCAGCTGGGGGCATGTGAGAGGCAATTGATCAATGTATCTAACACATATAGATGTTTATCTTCTTCTTTCTCCCTCCCTTCCCCTCTCTCTAAAAATAAATAAATAAAATCTTCAGATAAATACCCAGAACACAGCCCTGCAAGGTGCCATTAATATCTACCTCCTCCAAAGCTCCAGGACCAAGTAAAACCACACCTTTTCCTGTCCCTATCCATGTTCTTTCTTGTCACTTAAATTTAACACACAGGTTTCAGGAAGTTCTTTAAAACCTCTGCTGTAGTCCAAAGCTAATTGTGCTATATCACTTTTTGAACAATTTTTTATGTTTTTTTTTAAATATACCATCTACTAGTCCAAATGAAATACGTGGCAAAACCAGATTGAAGAACAACTCACTTTGAGTAGAATTAAGAGCAATAAACCTCCAGCCTTGGTAAAACTCACACACTAACTTTCCTTTTTGAGGGCAGATTTAAATAGACAAAAGCCAAATTTTTCCATGAGGTTTATGTCCTCAGCTTAGGTGCAATTGACAGGATAAACACAGACTAGTTAATCATTACTTCCTGATTATTATTATCCACTAGAATTTATTAACAAGATATCAAGTTAGGTATGCAAAAGAAAACCAAATAAAACTGTAAGAAGATATCATTAACCCACAGCACTAGTGGGTGGGAATTCCCAATATGTGGGTATGGATTCCTACTAATGGGTGTGGATTCCTACTAAATTCATCATATATTCCATCTTAGTCTCTTCAATTAACCTCTTCACCTTTTGTTAACTGACTGGACAAGATAAAGGTATAATCAGAGGACACTGATTCAGATGGGCTTCTGACCCAAACTCTGGTGTCATTAGAAGCATGATAAATACTCTAAACATTTCAAATTTAACAAATATTTCAACTTTCACCAACCTTTATTACTGTGGGCGGTGGAACAAACTTTCATCTACCTTCAAGGTTCTTCTTGATGGTCTAATAATCAAATGGACATGAGAAAGATTAGAAAGAGAAAATAACCAAATGTAACACATATGTATATATGGGAGCTCCCCATACATAAGAGAGTCAGAGGCTCATAATGCAGGAGAGATTCAGAGATTAAAAGGGAGACAGAGGTATGTAAGACCTGAGCTAGGGAAGAGATAACGCACCTTGGAGGATTCAGAGGGTTATTGCAGGGTGATAAAAAAAGCAGATGTTGCCCTGACTTGTGTGGCTCAGTTCGCTGGGCATTGTTCCACAAGCTGAAAGGTCATCAGTTTGATTCCTGGTCAGGGCACATGCCTTGGTGGTTCGCCAGGTCCCCAGTTGGGGGCATATAAGAGGTAGCCTATTGATATTTCTCTCACACATCAAAGTTTATTTCCCTCTCTTTCTCCCTCACTTTCCCTCTCTCTAAAAATAAATAAATAAAATCTTTTTTGAAAAAAAGGAGATGTTTAGTAAATAAAAAGTTTACTACAGATAGGTCAAAAGAAGTTGTTTCTGAAAATCTCTCTTTATGAGAAATGCCCCTAATTCAAGTTCTTTCAGGTAGTCAAGGGGATGGGCAAATGTATCTGTTGAGCTTATGGCTAACTTCGCCTTTCACTCAAAACAACCTGCCCACCACAGAAGCACATCTCGGGGTGACTCATTCTGGACCCCCATATTACTCTTAGAAACAAAGCCTTGTGTTAGTTATCAGTCTTAAACACAAACCTGACCATTCTCCTGGTCTCCTAGGGCGTACTTCTAGTGTGGATTAGACAGATAACTACTGTCTAGGAGCTCTCACCTATCAGAGAGGGGTCAGAGTGTTGGGATTAGAGGAAAGAGATGAATTCAAAATGATGGGTCTGGGACAGTTTCTGAGTGAAGGTGAGATAAGAACTATGGTTAAGACTTTTATAGACATCGGTGCATTTATTCACTAAGTATTTAGTGTTTGTTCCTGGGCTGGGTACAGGGGACGCAATGGTGAGAAAAGTGGTCTGTGAGTGAAAAGATCTCTTCACTCAGAGAGTTTAAAGTGGAGGAACAGTCCTTAATCAAATAATTGCATAAATATAATTATAAACTGTGCATATTTAAGTACTGGAGCTGTTACTGAACAGCAGGTGGGGTCCTGCTGCCCGCCACCACCCTCCAGGCAAAATTCCAGAGGCAAAGTTTTGGCGATAAAGGAAAGGAGTCTTTATGCAAAAGCTTCACAATTCTGGAATAACAGCTTTTACTTAGCCTATCAATTTAGGCTAAACTCTTTAATACCCGAGTTCTCCAATCATTCCCCCTGTTAGTTTTTGGTTATCTTCTACAGGGTTAGTTTACAAACTAAAACAATATAAAAACTGCACAATTTTGGGAAAATGGCAAACTTCTGCCTCACAGTTGGTTCCCTCTAGAACACCCAAAGAAGAATAACCCTGCCGCCCTTTGCCAGGCCAGCCTGATCCTATACTGAGCCCTGAGTTTCTTCCCATCCAAAATACTGTCTGTTGGGAAATGCAGGAAGCTGCCACACGATCATCCAGGCATCCTCGAGGAAGAAAGCCTAAGAGCCAGAAAGAGCCGAGCCAGCCAGAGACCCCTTCTTTTATTCCAAATCTTCTCACCCATAATTCCATGCCCTCCAGAGGCATTCAGCTGCTCAGCCTGTCCCATCCTAGGCATTGCATTGGGCAACCTCCTTCTAAGGCCCTTTCCTACTCCTTCCCAGTGATCTAATCAGATTACTCTGTATCAGAGCTATGACTGTATTTAATCTGACTAGCATAAGAGCGGGAGACAGTGAAAGCTCTCTGGGAAGGGGTCTTGGAAGTCCTCTTGCAAAGTGATTTTGGAGTGAAATCTGGAGAAGGAGTGACAATTATACAACCAAGTGCAGCTAGCAGACAAGCTGGGAGGGCACTGCTGGCAAAGACTTTAGTGGGAGAGGGCAGTTGACCAAAAAGAACCTGCGTGGCTGAAGCACAGCAACAAAGAGATTCTGAGGTCTGTCCAGGGGGTGACAGTTCACCAGCCTCCTAGGGAAAATCGTGCATGGCAAGATATAGTTTAAGCTGAAAATAATGATTGGGGTCCCTCACATTCTGGGAGTATTCTTCCAAAATGTTAGGTATTCCGCAAAGTGTTAGGGTGGTCCTTCATGTGGGCTGTGAAAGAATTTACAAAGAAAAAAAAGTGTAGAAAGTAAAGATTTTATTCACTCTCTGATAAGGCAGAAGGGCACGATGTGGAGAGATTAAGGTTTTGCACACAACACCAGCATTGAGAGGTGGGGGGCTTTGAGCTTTTACTGGATTACTGGATTAAAAAAGGATAGGGCAGGTGGCTGTTGTGTGGCCCATGGGCTGGTGGGGCATTGTAACACAAGGTTTTGGGGGGTTTTGCATTAGCTGCAGTTTGCTCCAATATTATCTTTTGTCTGCTGCTGTGGGGGGCAGTTAGTCACCTTCTGCTCTCACTTTCCAGTAATTTCCAGTCTTGAGGACATAAGCTCAGAAGAGTAAAATGGCAGTCATGTTTAACAAGGTCATAGGTCTCCTCGGCAAATGGTGCCATGATAGCAAATGGTGCCAGCTTTATCCTTTCACAAAGCAGGTTAGGGGGGTTGAATTGTATGCTGTAGGCAACAAGAAATCATTACAGGCACAGAGTGACGGGGCACCTGTTCAAGGATAATTGTCCTAAAAATAGTATTAAAATGAATTTTGGTGAAGTGAGAGAGTGGGGAGAGTCCCTGAAGGAAGGATAATAATTAAGGGGAAACTGTAAATATCCAAGTGAGAGGGAACAAGATCTTAAACTAAGACAATGGAGCTGAAAGAACTGAACAGGTACAGGAATACCGTAAAGTAGAATCAACACATTTGACGGATAATTGCAAGTAGATGTGAAGGGGGTGGCAGAGAGAAACAGAAGAGAAGTAGTTCAAAATGACTGACAAGATTCAGCCTAAATGTTATTAGGACACCCCCATCAGAGTCTGGGAATAAGAAGAGTCGGAAGCTTTGCGGATGGCAAGTTAGTTTCAGATATGCCATAATGATATCTGGGGCAGACAGGTAGCTATTGCTGATAACCTAGCATTATTCAAAGACTGTGTTTAGAGATAAAGGTATACAGGTCAGTCAATCAACAACGTTTACTGGGTGCCTACTATGTACCAGACGTTATTTTACATACCGAAGATAGAATTAAAAATTAGACCTAATTTCTGTCTCCATAGGATATAACTTGTATATAATAGGTAGTTTGTGGGGGGGGGGGGGGGGGACAGGAACCCAAAGGTCACGTGATTAACCGCAGAATAAACCATAAACAAATGATATATAAATGAGACAACAATTTAAAGAATTGTCCATTATCTGATATCAAATTTGTGAAGTATAGCCTTATGAATGTTGAGGCTCTTCTCTTAGGAAAGACATTAGAATGGAAATTCAAGTAACCAACTATTGTCAAAGGAGAGGTAGGTTTTATAAACTCTTTGTGAATTTCACCCAAGAATGTAGAGGACACCGCAAAGGACAGGATAAATAATAGGTGTTATTCCTTGCAAAAGAAAAAAAGAAGACATTGGGAAATCCCACTAACAAGGACACTTAAACATTTTGGCCCTTCATCAACACTCAGAGTATATATTCAATTTCGGGGGCCGAGGGGGAAACTTTGACATTTTTACTCCCAAGCAGGTGCCAAAATTATCTCACATTGAAGCAGTAGGACTACTAGGGTTTTCAGGCCTTATCATTTTTGGAAATAAATAATGGATAAAGCATAATATACAAACTAAAATTATGTTCAAAAGAAATGAACAACAAGGAATCATTGAGAGCTCAAAATAAGAAAAAATATGAAACTACAAATAAAAAAAGTATTTATGTACAGATATATGTAAAGATATATAACTATATAAAGATTAGATGATTGACAGATAGGTGATATAGATTTGTATAAAATTAGGCAAAAATATTTAAAAAGTTTTAAGCAGGAGATTGAAACTAAATGTCTATATCATACAGCTTCTCAGTAAGTTATTAAATCTCTGATTTATTTACCTAACTGATGCTTGGAAGAGAAATTTGGGAAAATGTTGATAAAATTCTAATGGGGTCAGAGGGGGCTTACTCAACTAGTAACTACTTTAAATCTATAATAATTAAAAACAGTGCAGATTAGGCAAGCAGAGCAATCAAATTAAAGAGTCTAATCATAGGCCCAAGTATGTGAATTCAGTAAATGAAAAAGGTTCATGTCAAACCAGTTGTAAAGATTTATCAATGCTTACATAAATGGTGTCAGAATAAAAAGCAACTTATTTAGAAAAATAAGGTATGATCTCCATTTAGAAAAGGATCATCTTAGCTCCATTGATTTAGCCCAAAGAATCATTTGCTCTGGTGTTATTAATACTAACAAGTTTCTGAAAATTGCTTACAAACAATTTTGAAAAAGCCTTTCTATGTTTGAACCAAACATCTGAAGCCATTAAGGAAGTTTGACTCCTTTTACTCATCGCAGATGATGCATAACACCAGCATTTTTCAAATGTTACATGGAGGGTGACCTAGGGCCCTCACAGTCACAGTTCCTTGCCATGGGAGGAGGTGAGAATCAGAGGCTGATTGGTAACAGATGTAGGTGGGGACAACAGATAGTCAAAGGTCTGTGGGAAAAGTGTGTGGGACTGGGGCTTTAAAATTATTTTCTAGTATTTTTATCATTATAAATGTAACAGATTCTCACAATTAAAAATGTAAAATAATCCAATAGGTACTTTTAGATATAGTATCTTTTTATAGATACTTTTGTAATAGTATCTATTACATCTAAATGTACTTTCAGAGATAACTACTGTTGATAATTCAATGAATATCATTCCAGGTCTTTTTTCAGTTTGTTCATTTTTTTAATTATTGTCCTTAGATGTTGGACCTCGAAACCAGAAATCCAAATTTTTTTAATACAAATACACCCTCAGATACTATGTCTCACACAAATCATTTC